CGCCCGGCTGGGGTCGCCGGCCGGCGTGGGCTGGGGGCGAGGACCTCCCGGGGCTGCTCGCGTCCCGGGGGGCGGGCGGGCCTCCTTCCCTTGGAAGGACCGGGAGGGGGGCGATCCTCCTCCTCTCCCCTTCTCGATTTCTCTGTCGCTGTCCAAGTTCACTTTTGCCTCGACGGCTTTGCGGGAGCCTCGGGCTGGTCCTTCCCTCGGTCTCCTTCCATCCCTTTCCCTTCTTCGCGCTCCCGCGGGGCTGGCGTGAGAGAGTCGCGGGGTGTCGGAGTTGCTGGGCTCTCTTGCACCCCAGGTCGGCGCAGCCCTCCGAGCCCTCGGACTCAGCGCCCTTGCCCTGCTCCCCAGACTCCCTCGCCTTTTGTGTCCCGTGCCCGGCTGCCAGCAGAAAGTTTGAGAGGCCCCCTCTGGGATGATTTCTACCTGGGCTTGGTGATTCTGCCACCTGGGTGTTTTTCAGACTTTTTCCACAATCAGAAAATAATGGTCCTATCAGAGTATAACGGGGTCTTCTACGCCTTTCACACGCAGCCATTTAATGACGTACACGTACACATTCTGGTTTACATTCACCTACAGTGTGTGTTCTTGCTACCTGGTGCTCACGGCTTGTTGTTACTGGGCAAGTTTGCATGGCCTGTGGGCACAGCGATTTTTCTAGTGAGGAAACTGAGGTTCGTAGAGATGAAGTTTATCTGGTCAAACTGCTACTCCTACCAACACTACTTATTATCAGCACGCAGATTCAGACAGCTAAGATAACAATATCTGCTGTAGATACATTGGCAAACATCTGGGAATGCAAATATTCTGGGTTGGGATGTCGCTTTTAATAACACCTTTTGCAGGTGTGTTCTCGAGGACTTGGGAAGGTGGAAGGAATAATTTGCTGCACATTTTCTATAAATTAGTTCATATATGTCAGTTAAATAGGAACAATATGTGGATTTAAAGTATGATTTTGTGGCCATAATCATATTTAACACTAGGTCTGCCAGCCAGATGTGAGTGTAATCCCAAGGATGTTTTTTTTTCTTTCTTTCTTTTTTTTTTTTTTCGGTTTGACTTTTTTCAGACAAGGTCTTATTATGTAGTTTGGGCAGGTCTTGAACTCAATGTATTGTGCAGGCTGACATCAAACTTGCTGCAATCCTCCTGCCTCAGCATCAGAGTACTGGGATTACATATGTGTGCCACCACGCCTGAATGTCAAAGGAATTCTTGTGTAAGACTATGCTCATTTAGGTAATAGAGATTTTGTAAAAAGTATATGTGTGCAAAGGAAGGTACTGCTTTCTACACATCCCTGTTGTCGCTGGAATTTAGATTAAATTACGTAAAATGTGAAAACAAGATTTTTTTTGTCCTCCTGAGTTGTATGATCAGAGAATCGACTGCAGAGTTAAAAAATCTTTTAATATACTACAGAAAAAAATGTGTGATCACATTTGCAAGGGATTGTCGAACTGTTTCACTTTGTTGTAGGGCTGCTTTCTTAAGTGCGGTGTCTGCAGTTCCATCTTCAAAACAACTCCAGAGAATGCAGAAGAGTCTCTAAACTCGGCTCAAATGGATGGCGCAGGTCTTATTAGAATTCTCTGTCTCTCCAGTTCCCTTATTTTATGTTTTGAATTAAAGGAAAGAAGGGTTTTTTTGGGGAGGGCATCCCTCCAAAGTTGGTTATAGGGGAATGGAGTTGCCCTACTTATTCCTTTGGAATTAAACTTTTTAAAAAGTTGTTTAGGAAAACAAACAAAGCTCCTTTCCATATAAATTAGCAGTCTCATCCAAATGGAAGAAAAATTAAATCTGAATGACTTGCCTTCCATTTTAGACATCTTCATGTGGTATTCAAGATAAATACAACTTCTTTTTTTCGTTTCTTTTGTCTTTTTTTTTTTTTTAGACAGGGTCTCGCTCTGTTGCAGTTCAGGCTGGTCTTGAGCTCACTTTGTAGCCCAGGCTGGCCTCAAACTCACAACGATCCTCCTGCCTCAGCCTCTTGAGTGCTGGGATTACAGGCATGCACCACCACACCTGGCTGTAAATACAACTTCTTAAGGGGATAAATGTGCTTGTATTTTCCGCCTTGTGAAGTGACTATATTTGGTTACAATGTTCGTTAAGTGGCTCTGTTACTGATTGCATATTCAGGTTAATATGATACTCTTTATTCCATTGGTAATCTCCCTCCATTTCCCCACTGGTGCTTAGCCCTGAGAAGACTCTGGAGCACATGTGCTCTTCCTGGAGTGTGACTGATGATTAGCTGGAGCATTTCCCTCTAGGCATGTGCTTACATTTTTCGTGAATTAATATTTTTGCATCTGGATCCCAGGGCAGCTATTTTATTTGCAGTAGCATATGGTAATTACTCTACCTGAGAACCAGGCCTTATGTAGCTGTCCTCTCTGTTAAGGCAGATTACTGTTCATCAGGGTTTAGATTCTGGAATTTGAAAGAACTTCAGAGGTCCTTCTGTTCAGTGTCCTCCCCAATGCAGTATTTCTGACTTTACTCCTAACCAGTGTGTGTTTAAACTTTGCCAGTGATAGAAATCTTTTTCTGTGGTACCCTTCAAGAAATTTGTTTAATTGCTTTTTTCTCTCTTGACCTAAAAGAAGTAGAAAACCAGGTTCACCATTTGCCCATTTAACAGCATTTGCTGAGCATCTGGTGTGTGCCAGACACTATTCTAGGTATTGATTGGATACAGCAGTGAAATCCTCTTACCAGGAGCTTTTATTTTCTGAGATACTTAGTGAGATACTTAGTGTCTTTAAGTATTAAAATAACATGCTTCACTGGAGTTTGTAAGGTAGGGAGGAAAGATCTTAGGCACATGTTGTTAAGACCCTTTACCTGAGTCATAACTCTTTACTTACCTGTCAGGTTAGGGGCCTTGTAGACAATTCCTAAAGGCAGTGCTTGGTCTGTTTCTAGGGAGTAGGGTTTTCACTGTGTGAGGAAGTGCTGACAGTGGAAAGTTAAGGTCTCGTGTTGGGAAATTGACCTTTCTGTGACTGGTGGATGTGGCTCTGTGCACCTGGAAGAAGACAGAGCTGAAGAAGGCCCAAGGAAGGGTCATCTAGACAATAAAGGAGGTGAGATATAGTGGGTAGGTTTTTTTTTTTTGTTTTGTTTTTTGTTTTTGTTTTTTTGGTTTTTTCTCCGGTACCAGGAACCGAACTCACGACCTTGCGCTTGCCAGGCAGGCGCTTTGCCGCTGAGCTAAATCCCCAGCCCTATAGTGGGTAGGTTTTAAAGCCAGTGATATAAATTAAACACCTTGAAGTTCTATAAGTAATTATTAAGCAATGCAAGGAATATTTTTAAATCCTTTTTTTTTTTTTTTTTTTTGATGCAGGGTCTTATGTAGTACAGGCTGGCCTCAAACTCATGGTGATCCTCCTGCCTCAGCCTCCCAAGTGCTGGGATTACAAGCATGCATCACTATGCCCAGCTTTTTAAATTTTGTGGACACTAGATTAATTTTTTAAATCTTTTAAGTTATCTTTAAAAATGTTTACACTTCAGTGAAAAATAGATCTAAGGAATTGCTTAAAAGAACATAAACACCCAGATCCCACCATCCTAGTACAATAGCTCTTAAATTGCTAGTGTATTTCCATCAACATTTTGAGTTTTACTTAAGTGAGGATAATCTGTTTTATATGTTATTACCTCAAAGCCAAAAACCTATCTGGATAGGCCCTGTATGACCATTGGAGCATTCATAATGGAGGAAACAGATGCATAGGAGGACCACCCTGTGTCTCTGGCCAGAGTAAGCCCAGAGATGAGTGGTCTGGGGACTTTGCTGTTGGCATGATTTGGAAGGTCTGCTTTGATTGAGTGCCCCCAAAATAGGTGTTTACACCCACTGATGAGACATCACTGATACAATGCTTGGGTTTAGACTCCAGAGCAGGTGGCAGAGTTTTCTGTTTGCCTCCATGGAACTTAAACATGGGGTCAAAGCTATTTCTGGATTTTATTTTATTGTGCTATCTTTCATAGCCTTTGCTAGACCGGTCTCAACTAGGGTCAGCAGAGCTGAGTGGTTATTTAAACAAAGACCCAGTAGAGCTAAAGCTTCTCTATTTTCCCCAAGGAGAACTACTTTACAATATAACTGATTGTGTGTGTGTGAAGTAATCTAGATTGGCAGAAAACTTCCAACAGAATAGAAACAACACCTCCTCTGACTCCCTCAGGGCATGCCGGTAGCCCATCAGTGCAGTGCTTCAAACATAAGAACAATACACGGGCTTTTGGTAGGCAATAAAATTTGCCTCATCTGAGGCCTGGTCTGAGTTGGAAACCAGGAGTCTGCTCCCTGATATAACCACAGCCAGGACACTACAGCCTCTTTGTCTTTGGGTGTGTGGCAGTGAGTGCACACTGCTCAAGTCAGAGGATGTAGGAAGCTCGGTTGTGCAGACAGGTTGGGCCCACCTCCTGACCCTATGGGTGGAGTGCAACGTGTTGAGAAAGGGGACAGACTAAGGTACAAGTAGATGTATATCATGCTCCAGAAATAAAAACAAGTTTGACATCCACTAAATGGAAGTTTAATTCTTGCGTGATTATTATTATTATTGTGGACAAGCAAATCAAAATACAATAAAATTTACCTTCTTGTTTTTAAGTGGTAACATTCCTTTGGGAAAAATACAATTTTCTTTGTAGTTTCTTTTTTTCTTATAGGAATACAGTCAATAATATTAGGTTAGAAATTGAAAAAAATCAAGTTATTCTTGGTTTCCTATTCCATCTGTTTTATCAGATATTTCTCACTCAGTTTTATGTGCAGGTGCTGATAGTCTCATGAACTCTCTGAAGGATGAGTAAGCCATAGAGCTGAGCAAGAGGAGAGGTGGATGTGTGGAAGTGTCTGAGAACAGCGTGTGCAGAGAGCTCTCAGAGGGAGCGAGGGCAGGAGGGCAAGTAGGTGGGCAGGCCGATTGGGTAGAGAGCGACAGGCATGAACTGGGAGGACAAAGTCTAGATCATGTGGTATATCCTTTTCTTTCCTATTTTTCTTTCTTTTCTTTCCCTCCTTTCTTTCAGGCTGAGGATCTAATGAACAAACAGGTGCTCAATCACCGAGTAACATCCCCAGCCCTATATTCACTGTATTTACTCTTAACTATTTTGTAAACTATCTCCCCTTTGCCCTCAATCTATAAGTATCTTTGAGTCTTAGAATTGGTCAACATATGACCCTGAAAATCTGCAGAGTACTCATTTACGATTCATTACCATACTGGGTGAATGAGAAAGGATCTAGGAGTTGATTCCTTTCTTGCCACAAGTCTGAAGTGAGCCCTCAAAGAATAGATAACATGAAGACTGAGGTAGGACACCGAAAAGGAGGAGAAGTCTGGTGATGATATAGGGCAGTAGGTTTTCTTCTGTCATCTGGTCTTATGCACTGAGCTCTTCCTCAAGACACACAACTAGAAATTCTTTCTTCTTAGAATCTAAAGCGACTGAATGCTGATGGGTGGGGCCCAGGATGGATGGTAGTCCTCACCTTGGACTTGCTAGCGTGGCAGCCAGGGTTGTCCAAGAAGGAAATTAAAAATCGATTGGATCCTAGAAGTGTAGGAAAAAATGGGTTAAAAGACATTCTCCTTAAAACTTAAAGGCCTTTTTAATTGCTTCATGTACTGTTTCCATACCATTAGAAGTTTTGTGAATCTCATTAAGAGTCACCACTAAAATTTATTGTGACTAGTTTTTTTTTTTTTTTTTTGGTGGGGGGGTTTCCGGTACCGGGAATTGAACTCACGACCTTGCACTTGCCAGGCATGTGCTGTGCTGCTGAGCTAAACCCCCAGCCCCATCTGACTAGTTTTTGAAATTTAAAAAAATTTAACTAAAAACCTTTGTGAACAGGAAGCCTGCTCAGTACCTTGCCTTTTTTTCAGTACTGAGCACTGAACCCAGGGCTTTTACTAAGCTACATCCCCAGCTCTGTTTATATTTTTATTTTGAGCCATAGTCTCACTAAGTCACTAAATTGCCAAAGCTGGGCTCAAACTTGTAATCCTCCTGCCTCAGCCTTCCAGGTGCTGGAATCACAAGCATGTGCCACCACGGGCAGTGTAGCATCTTGACTTTTAATCTACTCAAATTACTGTCAAGACAGTTATGTTTCTATATCCTTTCAGAATACTTGAAAAAGGAACACAGGAGGGTGAGGCATTTGTTCAGCCTGTGAGTGGGAAAGCTTGGCTTTGGAACTAAAGGCTCTGACCTCCCCATCTGTGAGGCTGAATTATGGGAGGGGACTTATTGGCCCCAGAGGTTTGGTAGTTTACAACACAAAGGCGTATTTATCATTCAAGGACCTTGCCTGCTCTATCCTGTGAGGTCTTGTGTGTGGCACTGACTCCAGGACACAGACTCAGGGAGCATCCTGTGTCTGGACATTGCCAGTGTGGTGGCAAAGAAAAAGAAACGCTGAACCTGGAACTGACTTGCATGAGTCACTTCACGGAGATTCATTGGTCAAAAGTGAACGGTTACTCCTAATCTTGCAGAGAGTGACTCTGTAAGTGACTTGGCAAGTTT